TCTCATGCAAATTTTCTTCAAAATCAATTGATCCCCTCCCTATATGGATTGGTTGGTTAGGGTTTCAAAGTAACCCAATTGATCACCCCAATAAAGGGATCAATCCATTTTTTATGTAATAGCTAAATTGGTTTACAAACTAATAAAAAAGATCTATCACTTGTGTTTAAGGGATCGTTAGGTCCCTTACTTGGATTTTGTTTTTAGATGATCCAATCGATCCTTTCCAAGAAGAGATCGATTCGGTCTTGTCCAGAAAGCCACCAACAACTATTTTGTCTAAAATTTTGTAGAGGCTCCAAATATTTTAATGCAACCAATGACTATCTTTCACTCTCTTAACATAAAAGGAGGTCTTGCACCACGTTACAAGCTATCAAGAGCCAAGAAAAACTTATTACTTCCATTTACCATCTGCTCTAAGTACTAAAAAGCATTTGTTATGTGAAAAATGCAAAAAATTCAACTTGTATTTACTTCTCTCTTAATATCCTTCATAATCTTAATTTGTACTTGAAATTAGCAAACACCCAACCTTAAATAGTTTTTTAAGTTTGCAAAATACTTCAAAACTTGTATTAAGAGGTTGTGAGTTTAGGAAAGTATAACCCTTAAAAGATTTTGCTGTTAATCTATAAAGCTTTGAAGAGTTAAGTTGTAACATTTAACACATAGTGGATTAGATTCTTTGGCAAGTGAGGCTAAAGAGAGCACGTAAGTGCCTAAAAAAAAGATCGAACCTCTATAAATTTCAGTGTTTGATTCTCTATCTCTTTGCTTTTAAGATTATTATTGTACTCATATTTATGTGTTTATTTACTTAAAAATATTGATTTGTAAATTTTGTGTTCATTGGATATTAAATTTGAAAAATTCATAATCAACCAATTCACCCCCCTTTTAGTTTAATTCAAATTTTGAGTTAACATAGAGGTGTACAACTACAATATCTTCAAATTAAACAATCTTAGTAAAGAAACAATCTTGTAAGAGAAAAGTGGAGTCTCACCAAATTTAAAAATTAATAAACACCCACCAAACCAATAGGTATAAACCTTGAAACCTAATCTCCACCTTTTAGATTGAAAAATAATGAGTTGTAAACACATTGATAAAAAAGTTAGCTCAATCAAATTATGGATTGACCTTAATCAAATTATTTTATGGAAACTACACAAATCCCCTTTTCTCTTTTTTTTTTCTCTATTTTACCGCTACTCCCTCTCTTACTTTTCTACCAACCATATAAAACAATATATAAGAATTTAAAACCCTATAACCATGCATGAAAAGAATTAAAAAATCCTTAATAATGAGTTTTAGTTTTAGGTCACCTCCATGGAGGAAACCAAGCCCCACACACGTTCCATAAGAGCTGCAATTTGTTTTTCTGAAACTAATCGATGTAAAAGTTTAAAGTAGTTATTTGGTCCTCAGAATTTGGTCTGGTTGATTTACTTTGCAATTTCATTTGAAGAAAGCAAATTTATCTTCAACTACAAAATGCATTTGAAGTTTGTTGGTTATCATTGTTATGTGTGTTTATTTGCTTCATTGCTTGTATGAATGTGTACATTTCTATATGCAAAATAGTATATTCCTCGAAATGACTCAAGTTATTGATGTTTAAAGAAAGTAAAAAAATGAGGACATGAAGGTTGAGTGAAGAAGTAATCAAAACTGATAGAGAAGAAAGGCGAAACATATTTGTATTGCAATATTCACCATTGTTGGTATAATTGAGATCAAATATTAATAAAACATGTCTTCCAGTAAATTTCAATCTAGTAATCCGATTGTAGTTTGATTGCTCCTTGTATATCTAGGGAGGTATTGTCCAAGGTTTTTTTTTTTTAATATAAAGATTTTTTTTTTGCAAGTAATTTCACAGAAGTAATGTAAGAGTACAATCCAAACCTAGGATTAAAAGGATCGAAAAGCAAAAAAATTCATGTTTTGTTAACCTTAGTGGTTGTGGACACATTTATGGTCATTAGAGTAGTTTAAAAAATGGGCAACCAACCACCCAACAAACCCCTCTAAAAAGAAAATCACACTCATCTATGTCCTCATATATTTATGTAAGGAACTTGTTTTATTTCAGAACTGCAATGAAATTTTTTTTTTTTTAGATTTTAAAGTTAGAGTTTGTTTGGCATTTTTGCCTATATTTAAGGTCAAGAACAACATGGAACATCTCCTATTAGTTGATGGTACATGTCTACTGGAAGTATCAAATGGCTGACTTGGTAGCTTTTGCATCCATGATTACGTAATTGTAAGACAAATAAGAGGCGACACTTTGTAAAGATAGAATTTAAAAAAATGACTTAATTTGTGTCATAACATATAGATCCATAATTCTATAACTAGACTTAACAAATAGATGGAGTCACCATCATTCTTTTTTAACTAGGTGTGATTGGCCACATAAGAAATCTATCATTTTAAGGAGCTCTTAAGCTTGACTAAGGGTCCCTAAAAGAATAGGTTTGGTCTTATTACCAGACAGTGTTCAAGATTTCGATTATATGTGAAAAAGGTTATAACACCCCCACATGCCTATCCAAAAGATGGTACTATATCATTTTAAATTTATCTTAGTGTCTTGAGTCTAATAGTTTTGAATTTTTATGTTAAATATTGGAAATAATTTATAAGATTCTTCCATTAATCTAGTAGAACTTTTAAAAATATATCTTCACCTCAAGAGTATTCAAGGATCCTGTTTGTTTCCTTGAAGAGGCTACGTCATTGAAAAAATTATTAGTTTTATTTTTTTGTTGAAAATATATCTAATTATTTCACCATTTAGGCCAAATTAGAAATATTTTCTTGTTTTAAATTTCTAAATTTTTTCATCATTTGGGCCTATTTAAAAATTTTTTAAAATTTTTTTTCTTGTGTAGACATCCCATTTTGTCCGAGGCCTTTGTCAATTAAAATCGATCGAAGCTCAATTGTAAAAATTTTTTTTATTTTATATTTTTATTTCATATTTGTCATTTTTTAATTTTTATCTTATGGTCTACTTATTGTTTATTTTCTTTTTCTATCTTCATTATCTGATTATTTTTTTAAAAAAAAAAGAAATATTGAGATTAGGCTTGATGATGATCAGAAAGCATAATTAGATGCTAATCTTTAGCATTGGATGACTAATTGAAATTAAACTGAAACTCTATCAGTATGGTTTTATAAATCATTGTGATTCATAGTTTGAAAAGGGGGAGAAAAGATAGAAGAAGAATCTAAATAGGAGAGGGGGAAACAAAAAAAACAAAGGGGGAAACCCCCATCGCCACTAGGCCCTCAAGGCCTCTCTTTGGTGGGTGACTTCCCCATCCATGACCCGAGAAGTGCTTAAAGACCAAGATATTGCATTTGCCAATCGTGACGTGCCTGTGACTACCCTCTGAGCAAACAACAGATGTGACATAGCTTGGAACCCTTATGGTCCTGAGTGTAGGATGTTAAGAAAGGTATGTGTACTCAAGCTGCTTAGCAACATCCCTTTGGACAAAGTATATATGCTTCACTATAAGAAAGTGTGAGAAACTATATATACAGCAAGGCTGGATAGCCTGTCAATGTCAGTGAACAATTTTTTTTTAATGATATTGAATGTGATTATCAATATGTTATAGGGTGGCACGTTGAGAAGGATGCCAGGGCCAGCCTTGGCACCAAGTTCAAGTACGTCATCTCAGAAATAATAGAGACTTTGTGTCTACCAATATTTTTTATTTTCTCTAAGGCACCGACAATCGCTTCTCCTTTTGCCTAATGACCACATCTGGCATTGGTGTTGCTGCACTTCTCTTTTCCTTTTTCTCTGCGCGTCTCTATTCCTTCTGGTGTCACTTTCTTTCACTATAAATTGCAACCATGTATAGAAAAAAATCAGGGGGAAAAAAACTTGATAGCAGGCAAGGGAACGTGAGGCTACTGGCATAAAAAAAAAAAGAAAAATCGAAAAGAAGATTGGGCAGCAGGAACAGAGAGAATACAGCTGCAGTTTTGGTTTACCTTTGTGCCGAAGACCAACGACATTTAGCAAAGGCCCAGGAACTAAGAGCGACGGGTCCTTTGGTAGATTTGGCACAAAATGGTACAGCAAGGGGCAAGCGAAAGGCTGCTCAATTGCTTGAGCGCATGAACAGGTTAGTTGAGCAGCAAAAGCTAGCACAAGTGCAAGCTAAGGGCCAATCACAGCTGTCTCAGTCTCAGACTCAGGAGCTATGATGACAGTCTATGAAGGAAGGCTTTGCTTCGAAGGAAGAGGTGGAAGATCATCTGTACAACCTGTAAGTATTCATTTATTTATTTGGAAGAATATATTATTCACAAAATCATCAAAGTTTCGAAACAAAAAAAGTGAAACCAACCAACAGAAAATAGCAACATGACAACTGGTAGGCAGCGAAGCTGAAAAAGTAATAATGGCAGTGAAAAGAGATGGTGCTGCTGCTTCCAAGAAACGAAGCATCGAAAGGTTGGACTACAAAGATGGTGTATTCTGTCGAAAGCTGGAAGGGTTTAAGCTTAGAAAAGTTAAAGCTAGAGAAAGAACTTCAACATGCTACATCTGAAATTCTTCTACTCAAATTAAAAATTAGAGATCTATTTCAACGTATTGATTCACTATGTGCTGAAGGAAGGCTCCTAGAATCTTTATTTGATTCTGAGGGATAAATTGACAGTGAAGATATATATTGTGCAAAATGTGGGTCCAAGGACCTATCTTTCGATAATGATATCATTCTATGTGATGGTGCTTGTGACGGTGGATTCCATCAATATTGCTTGCAGCCACCTTTGCTAAAAGAAGACATTTCTCTGGATGATGAGGGTTGGTTATGCCCTATATGCGATTACAAAGTTGATTGAGTTGAATTGGTTAATGAATCTCAAGGAACAAGTTTTTTTCACTGACAGTTGGGAGAAGGTTTTTCCTGAAGCAATAGTAGTTGCTGGTGGACAAAGTCAAGATCCTAACTTTGGACTACCTTTAGATGATTCTGATGATAATGATTATAATCCTGATAGTCTAGAAATCGATGAGAAGGATTGGGGAGATGAGTCAAGCTTTGATGAATCCAATTTCACTTCTATATCCAAGAAATTGGAAGCCCCAACTAAGGTCAACCCATATTTGGAGCTTATTTACGATGTTGTTTTCTCTTCCTTCATCCACTCTTTCAGTTGCAGGAAGCCAGAACGGAAGAGCCGAAAAAGCAATGGCAGTGGAATTCACAACGATAAAGTCGCAGTTGATGGTGCAAGCACCAAAGGTAGTTGATGCACTACAATTCTACAATACCGCGTTTGACACTATTGATAATAGCTATACTCTTTACCCAAAGTGCAAGGCTGAGCAAGAGCTTCTTCATATCCTCTCGGTTCAGTTTGAGCTCGTTGGCTTTACCGTTCTTGTATCTGACTTCACTGGTAACTCTGCTCTTGTGAAAAGTGAGAAAACTGGATGTGTGCTTTGCATCAAGACTAAGGACGTGGAAGCTGTTATAGCCAAAGTCGTGAGCGCTAGAGCCATTGTAAAAGACGGTGACGTGTGCTGTGGTGGACACGTGGGCAAGGACAAGGATCCATATGGATACAGTTGGCTCATTTGCTTTCTTGCCAAGAATGTTGCTGAGGTCCCTACATTGTTGGGATCTAGCTTCCTTAAATATTTTTGAGAAAAAGTTAAAAGTATCAATTTTTCTTAAAAATAAATATTCAAAAAAGGTTTTTTTGAAGAAAAATTGAAAGTATCAATTTTTCTTGAAATTAAAGTTTCAAAAAAATATTTTTAGGGAAAAGTTGAAAGTATCAATTTTTCATGCACAAAAACAATTATTTTTTTCTTCCTTTTTTTTTTTAATGTTAAATAATCTGACGACGGAGCCTCTGCAAGTGAAACAGTAGTTTCTTGCATCTTGAGGTAAAGAAATTTTCTCAATTTTTTGTTAAAAGTATTAGAGTCAATTGAGAATAATTTCCAATAACTAATTACTTGTTAAATTTTTAAGGCTTATTGGATAACATAAAATTAAGCTAGTACCATCTTTTGATGGGCGTTGTAAGGGTGCTATAACCTTCCTTACACGTAATCAAACTCCCGAACCCTGTTCTAGTTAGTAGACCCGAACCTATTCTTTTAGGGACCCTTAAATTTAGGTGTCCCTTGAAAGGATAGATTCTTTAGGTGGCCAATCGCACCTAGATAAAAAAGATTGGTGGCGACTCCTTCAAGTTAATGTCTAGCGATAGATCCATGGATCTAGACGTTATGACAGCTTGGCGACTCCACTAGGGACTATGAGAGTCAGGCCAGTAAATAAATTTGTGTTATCCAAAAGCCTAATAAAATTGAACCTTTTTGTATAGATTTTTTGTTCATTCATGTTTATTTATTTTATTAATTATGTCATTCATATGCATATGCATAACATGAGCTCTATACTCGAGCTCCGTCCCTCTAAGAGGGAGTAAAGTACCTATTGCTTTCGTGAGGTTTAATGCCTCCGCAGTGGCTAGCGAAATACTCCCACTTAAATTGAACATTTTCTGCTTGTAGCCTATAATGGGTGAAGATTGGGGTGCCTTACTAGTCTGTGACAGACAATGATGTAAGGAGCAATTTGGGAACCTTTAGACTTTAGCTTTGAACTACATATAAGTGAACCTTAGAAATGCCTAACCCTAAGATAGAGCCATTTCTACCCAATGATAGATATACCTTGAAACTAGGATACAAAAAAGATGTTTATCTAATCATTTTAATTTTCTGACTTTATGTATCATTTTCATTATCATATGTAACATTATGCATCGGCATCACTTTCAGTTCATCTATGAAACTAACTATGTTGTTTGTCAGATTTTGTGCATCTGTATTATTTTCATGATCATGTTTTAACATAATCATTTGCATCCATTTCATATTAGATTTCATCCATAAAAATGTACATTTCATTCATGCATCAACGCATCATACATAAAGCATAGCATAGCATTTTTAATCATAATTGTGGTGCTAGAGGTTCAAGGATAACTCCACCAAACAACCCCACTCACCAATACAATACAAGAGCTCAAGCCAGACTAATGGAATAAGAAAATTTCAATCGTTTCAAAAGAATAGAGAAAGCTCAGGAGAAGTTAGAAGGGGAGTTGAATAAGATTTTAGAGGCTTTGAACAAGTTAAATAAGGGGAAGGCAATAGAGGAGAATGCTAGCCAACAAAAGGAGGATGACTCACTATACCCTCTTGGTTTCGAGCTACATCAAGTCCAATCTGCACAAGATCTACCACCACAGCGGTTCACCTATCCTGTAGGGTACACATATCTCAGAATGCTATCAGCTTCAAATTAAGGACAATACCAAAGTTATATAAATCATGTCCTTACTGAAAAGTAGTAGAACCAATATCAGTCCTTAATTTGAATGATTTAGAAGAAAAAAAAAGTTGAGGCCTAAGGAGAAGGGACTTTAAAAGCTTCAAAAGTTGAACATAAGATAAACATGTTAGAGAAAAGGCTGCGAGCAGTGAAAGAAGTTCGTTTTTATAGCTCAGTTGATGCTGCTGAGCCCTGTTTAGTTCTTGATATAGTTATTCTTCCAAAATTTAAGGTGCTAAAGTTTGAGAAATACGATGGTACAAAGTGTCCAAATTTTCACATTATTATGTACTATCGAAAAATGGCTGCCCATGCCAATAATGAAAAGCTCTTGATGCATGCATTCCAAGACAGCCTCACTGGCTCTGCTGCTAGGTGGTATGTCCAGCTGGACAGGAATCATATTCATTCTTAGAGCGATATGGCTCATACTTTCATTAGTCAATACCAGCATATAATAGACTTAGCCCTTGATCATCTTTCTTTACAGAATATAAAGAAGAAAGTAACCGAATCATTCAAAGAATATGCCTAATGGTGGAGGGATATTGCTTCTCAAATGCAACCTCCTTTGACTAAAAAAAAACTACCGTATTGTTTGTCAGTACTTTAAAATCCTCATATTATGAAGAGATGATAGGGAATGCCACAAAGAATTTCACTGATACGATGATCTCAGGCAAAATCATTGAGATTGCCATTAAAAATGGTAAGCTGAAAGTAAACCAAGAAGGCATTTGAGAAAAAAGAGACTAAAGCTTAAGCTGTAGGCTATAACAGACAGTTTAGGGGATATCAACCCTATCCACCCCTAGGTTACTCTCCATACTATCTTGCAGTGAACAATGCTTCATCTTATCCATACCAACCAGCCCCACAACCACCTAATTCATCCATATACTAGCCCATTTTTATCCCCCAAGCTTTCATATACAACCTTAATAATCAAACTCCTACAAGACTCTAAATTCATCCTATTAGCCTAGAAAGTGGTTCACGAGGGCAATGGACTATTTGAGAAAAACTTGTATTTGATCCAATCCTCATGACTTATACGGAGTTATACCGAGAGCTCTATAATAGTCACTTGATTGCCTCTAAGTCGTGTGGACCCGTTTAAACCACTTTATCCTAAGTGGTATGATCCTACAGCTCACTGTGACTATCACTATAAAATTACTGGCCATTACACTAAAAATTGCACTGCTCTAAAGCATGAGGTGCAACAGTTAATCAAGGATGGAATAGTAAGTTTTGATCAATGAAGAGCAACAGCGAAACACGAGTACAGAGATTAAGAAAAGATCATAGAAAAAAAAAGCTTTTTAGACACTGGTTGAAGATAAGAGTGAAAAAAAAAAAGGTAAATTGATTTAATATGGTGATCCAAATTTTAAGTCGAATATTACTCATCGACAGCGAGTGGAAAGAGCCTGTTCTCAAGAAGTGAATTTTAATTATCTATCCTGTAATTAAATAGAACATCGATCATATTCCAGCAGCTACAGCTGAAGATGTGAAGCTTACGATGGCTACTGTTCAGAGAGTTATTTCTAAAAATAGAGGTAAATATTTGGCTTCAGCTTCTGGCACTATTCGTGCCAAGTATTTACGGGCCATCGTTTCCAAACTAACAAAAAGAAAATTTGAATTAGCAAAGCTTGAGTAATTGATTGCGGGAAACCACTTGATGAAGCAACTTGGGACATTGATGATGTTGCTGGATGTTTTGAGTATTATACGTACCTTGCTGAAAGTTTAGATGCAAAGTAAAAGGTTGCTATCTCTTTTCCTATTGAGACATTTAAGAGTTATGTGCTTAAGGAACCACTTGGCGTCATTGGATTGATTACTCTATGAAATTATCCACTATTGATAGCCACCTGAAAAGTAGCTCTTGCTTTGATTACAGATTATGCTGCAATACTGAAACCTTTCAAGTTGGTATCTATCACCTGTTTGGAGCTGGCTGATGTATGTAGGAAGGTTGGTTTTCCTCTAAGTGTCTCAAACATTCTGACTGGATCGAGCCTGAAAGTTACGATTTCTTGGCATCTCATCCCAATGTTGACAAGATTGCCTTGACCAAACGCACTAAAATAGGGGGCATGATAATGGAAGTAACCGCTCAAATGGTCAAGCCTATATCTTTAGAACTCGACAGGAAAAGCCCAATCATTTTGTTTGAGGATCAAGAATATGAAGAGTTGCAATGAATTAATGGGAGAGATAAAAATCCTTCACCTGATTGCATAGGGGCATGATTTTAAAGAGGATGTTAAAACTGGTTGAATGCTACCTATCATTCTAAGAGTTCTTTTAAAGTAATGTTAGGATTTCTTTTTTGTAATATGATTTCACTTATTATCATCTTAATAAGGGTAAGTTAATGCATTTCATTACATTTTCTTTTTCACTCGACCATTATTCCATGCTCTGTTACCTTTCATAACTTTACATTCCCATTCTCAAATTTCAGATGATGAGTATTTAGACAATGATAACATAATTCTGAGATTTAATTTTAAGAACTCATCCACATTAATATGAGGAGATCATTTGAGCAAAAAAAGTAAGCTATTACCAAAGGTGAAATAGATATGTCTTAAAGATGTGTAATATTTTATACAAGTTCATGAGCTTTATTTAATAGATGATGTTCAAGAAAAGTATTCACAATTGAGATGAAAAATGGCCATCTTTCTTTTACCATTTGAAAAACCGTTTATTGTTACCCCTTTGAGCCTATTATGATTTTTTTTTCTAAAGAACCCCAATCGAGGATCACCCTCTACACTGGGGATAATTTTTAAAAAAATATCACAAAAGATCTCAAAGATGGAAAGAGAAAGAAAACAAAGAATAGATGCTACACATGATTTGGGGTAAAATAATGAGAATTCTTTGTGTGAGGAAAGAAAAAAGTAGTGAAATGATGTGGGGGCAAAATGCCAAGTTGTGTTAAATGATCCTTTGGTCTTGAACCTTTTTAATACATGTTTTGTGGCTATTATATCCACTTCTTTCATGACCCCTCACCTTGACCTATATTACAACCTTGAAAAGTCCATTTGGATCAAGTGTGAATGCTCAACTTGAATGATCATATGTTGAACGAAGACATGCTCATGATGAAACAATGGAATCATGCTACATTGCTCTAAAGTTGGATGTGTGAAAGATATCAATAATGGATGAAAAATGAGGAAAAAGAAAAAAGATGATGAAAAAAAATAGAGAAAAAAAAAGAAAGAAAGAAGAAAAAATGAAAAAAAAATATTCAAATTGAAAAC